CAGGAGCAAAAAACACACGTACAGAACTATGAAACTTGTTAACTTAGCAGCGGGGATCTCATGTAGAGTTGAATGTAATAGTGACATTACCTAGAAGAGCTAATAAGCAGAACACAAGACAACAAATAGCTATAGAGAAAAGTTTAAGGAAAGGATCAAAGGTCAGAGTAAAGGCGAAACGCGGGCAAAGTACGAAATGATTGGAGTAGCAGAGAAATACCAAGTATGTAGCTGGAAACAGAATGAAATAGATAGGGTGAAGTAGACCTCAGGACAAATGTATGATAAACAATGTGAGATTTGAAATCACTGCTGCAAAAATAGAGTCTTAGCTGAGTTAAGAACATTCTTCCCAAATTGAAAGTTATGGTTACAAAACTCGCTGAAATTGGTTGGGCCCTAAACTGTTCTCAAATTAAACGAACTAAGTCGAGAAAACGGTAATTCTTTTGATATTTCAGCCACTAATACTATTTCAGCTAATGTCGTTCTGTAAAGTAATTTCTGAACATCTAAAGACTGTCGGCAAAAACAATGTTCAGGCCGGAATAGATTTAATTTTAGATCGAGCGCTAATTGTTAACACACTTTCCAGCAATCAGACTAGATTACCAGTTTCAGGCATCACTGTTTTTTAGGCGTTGGATGAAGGAGAAGGTCACAAAGATGCCGTGCATTCTTGAAGAGTCCAGCCATGCTAAAAGAAAAACCGCGCAGGCCTTATCGCGGAGTTACTAAGGAATTTTTGAGAACAATTTTCTAACTTACCCTTTTTTCATGTTTTCATTGTTAAAAATGATCGTTTCGAGGAGGATTTCCAAAATGCTGCAAAGGGCCGGTCTAGTCAAACTGCCAAAATGGCGCGGCGTGTTGTTCCGGATTTTCTTTAAATTTGTGGTTTGCTTACAGAGACTTAATGCGTCAGCCTTCTTAATTACAGAGGCTATGGAAAGGAAGACAATTTAGCATTTGCCGCAGAAAAATTACTTCTTATTAACCAAGCACGAGGGCCGCACTGATTATTGGCCCATAATCGTGGTAGTATGGAGCGAGCGCAGAGGTCCGTACAAAAATACTGAGGGCCAATATTTCTCAATACAGCTCAAGCAAGCGATGTTACTAAGTATTTTATCAAGGCGTTCGGGAAAACTTCTTTATTTTTTTAATTTCTGAACTTTCACTAACAAAAATATACGGCTTATGACCGCTTCCGTGGAAGTGGTCCATATGGCAAAATCCAGACCAAGTAAGAACTAATCAGAATGCTCGGATTTACTTCAAGGCTGTCCTGCCATATAGTACGTTATTATAACTTTCAGGCTCGAGGTATTTTCATTAATAGTTTATTTTCTCCTTGAGCCTTTTTGTTCGAAAATATATGTCCCTTGCAACTTTTTCCCTCGTGCTTGCGTTTTTCTGGTAGAAATTCATTGTATCGAAAGTCACGCATGATCACAAGTTTGTTTTATTTTTATAGGTGTGGTCGTTAACTCGATCTAATAACTACCTGACATTCCTTTTTTTTAGATTTTGACGTTCAAAAAATATCGAATTGCTATTAGTGACGTTATAGACCGATTAATCGCAGCTGCAACATTCGGGGTAACCCACAGGCTTTTGACTGTCGTCCTTTGAACCTTATCATGGTGGGGTAGGGATTTGAGCCAGAAGCGTCAAGTTTTTCCAGTGGAACAATGGTGGTTCACTTTTAATATGGAAGTACTTAAAGCAGATGGCTCAGAATATAGGGTCTATATAGTCTAGGTTTTGGAACTTGAATAGTCAAATCAATTGCTGGCCGTGCCTTTTACGAAAGATGTGACAATGAAATGAGGGTCTCAATGGAAAGATGGCTTTTGTTGCTGACGGTTACATTTTTTGGCCCTTTTACATGGCTAATGCTAATTTTTTTACGGTTACATTACTTTTAAGACTCACGGTTAAAATTTGTCAATTTTTACGCCTAACGGCTAATTTCTGCCGTTTTACGGCTAACAGTTAACCCCATTAAGAACCACTAAGATCTAGCACCTGGGCATTGCATTTGAACTTGATTTTGGCCTAGGGGGGCTGGAACCAATCTTCAATAGTTAGAATTCCTGAAGGGAGGCGATGTTGAAGCTTTGAATTGATCGATGCATCATTTTTTTTCTTCTAGCATAATACTCTCAGTATCCCTCCACCTAACGATGTCATCTGTTTGATAATAATCACCAAGAAAAATCGTGCCACATTGTCTTCTTTCACTCACGACCGAGTCTAATGATTTTCCGTTAAACATGCTTCTAAGGTAACATATTCATTATTTATCTAATGAACAAGTTTTTTAAAACTTATTCTCGTGGCCCAAAAAACCGCAGGAAGGAAACAATCCAATGTGTTTTTGTGATTATAACTATTTCGACCTTGCATGAGAAACGCTTGAGTATGTTGAATTCAGAGTAGTCTTATATTGCTTCCCATCCTCAACGTATTCGGCAAAGAACATTTCACTTGCCGTTATAGATGATTAAATTGTCCTCTTTCAAGTCCACAATGAAGCTAAACTTTGCCCCAGAACTTTCTCAGGACTTATAGGTGTTCGAATACCCAAAGAAAAACAGGCGCTCTCCGCTAGCTTAACCGATTCTGACTTATACCGCATGGTGAAAAAAAAAATTGAAAATGTGTTTCAAAATGCGATATTGGATTTTGAAATATTGGTGATTTATGAAAGCGCTCCGTGATGTCAAAATTAAATGAAACTGTCCCGTTCAATACTTGAGCCATACCTCAATTCCTCCTATAAAAATTTTTCAAACTGATGAAAGCTTGCTTTTATTTTGTACGCTTTTCATGAGCAAAGTTCATTTACTCAGTGCCCCGAGTAGAGCCTCTACTCGGGGCACTGATATCCGCCAATTTTTTTCGACTTAGTTTTCGTGAATTTTCTAGGATAAAGAAGCACGTCTGGGGAAAAAAACCTTATCACGTTTCTAAGTTCACTATAAGGCATCTCTGACTGAAATATGAGGATGGTCATTTTTCGGTCGATGTTCCACCCACCTCTCACGCGGTCTTGAAAAAGAGTCGATGTGCACGATTTAACATAGTCGTTAGAAGAGATTGTTTATACCTATTGTCCACATGGCTTTGGTAATGGAAAAGAAGACCTTTATCTGTTGTTTTCCTGTAGAAGCATGTTCTAACTTGGCTACCCATCTTCATAAGTTCCATTCCGATGAAAGGAAGTTTGCCATTGATTGCAACTTCCATGGTGAAGTTGAGTGCAGGGTGTGCTTCATTCAGCGTTGCAAGGAAAGTACTAGCAGTTAGAATGTCCTGCACCACGGCTAAGGTGTCATCCACGTACCTTCTATAGAAATATGGTAGCTTCTTCTCCCTTTCAAGCTTCTCCTCAATGGAACACATCAATGTATTTGCCATGAGCGGTCTTAGTGGTGATCCCCGGCATCGCTACACCATCTATTTGTTCGTAGAGGCTGTCATTAAAGTGGAAAAGTTAGTGTTTTGTAGCCGCTCTTAGGAGGGCAACGAGTGAGTAAGTGAGAGTGATATTTTAATGTGCCCCCCGAGGAAACAACTTAGATCCTTGCTAACAAAGCTTTTACCGAGAATTGGTTTAATGTGACATATCACCTGAACATCAGATGATCTCGTTACCCTTCTAACTTGGGCGGTTACAAAACACCAATTTGTCCAGTTTAATGACAGCCCCTACGAACAAATAGATGGTGTAGCAATGGAATCACCACTAGGACCGCTCACGGCAAATACATTCATGTGTTCCATTGAGGAGAAGCTTGAAAGGGAGAAGAAACTACTCTATTTCTGAGTTTCTACTTTTAGTTAGAATTTCGAAAATGGCTGCATGTGTTTACCGTCTAATAGGGCGCCAGACCTCAAACTCAACATAATGCATAAAAGTAGCGTTGAGTTCCAAATGTAAATTAAAATAATTTGCCGCCGCGGTTTCGCTTCGCAGACGACGCAAATTTTGGTGATTTCACGTTGTTGTTTTGCAAAGGACGGCTAAGAAATGTACAAAGTTTTAAAACGCACGTGCTGGGCTATTGTTCTGCCAGTTAGATCTATTGTTTTTCCACGATCTCGTTGCCGTAGCCGTCGTAGTTTGCTTAAAGTCCCTAATGCGTTGTTCATGAATACAAATGTGATCCGTGCGACGCAGATTACGTCGGCTACACGTGCCGACACCTATTTCAGCGCATTAATGAGCACAAGCATTCTGTCATTGGTAAACACCTACGGGACGTACACAACAGTAAGGAACAAAGATCCTCGTGACCAATTTACAATCCTAAAGAAAAGCCGTCGGAAACTGAATTGTTTAATTTATGAAATACCCTCCTTCAAAGAGAGAAAACCAGCACTTAACACTCAATCTGACTCCATCAAAGCAAAACTTTTTATCTGACAGATCAAGCGCACCACGCTTGTATTTTATTCACCTATCTTTATCTTTTATTCATCGTTTTTATTTCTTAATCATATGCATTGAGACCTTCGCACGTACTTTTTCTTTATAATGAACTCACGAAGTGTATCATGAATGATGGCATGGAGCCGTCGAAACGTCATTCTTTAATATCGCTGGTTTTTATCTTTAATTGCTTATCGAAAACTTTAGTTACTAGAACTTTGTCATATTGCCTTGTTAAAGACGAAAAAATCTCCTGATTTTAAGTCTAACTCACTAAATGGCTTTCTGCTTTCTTGTCTTACAAACTCATGAATTCATTCCTTGTTCAACCGAGGAAGAAAAGCTACAAGTTTTTAGAAGGTACTATTTATTTTCTTTATTTAGTTCCGCGGGAAAGACGAAAAATTCTAACAACTCACTAACAAGCACAGAACTTTCTTCTCTTTCCAAGCCAAGTATTCCTTTCTCGTTCAGACCCATTTAGCCATGTATAGTAGTGGATAGTTTTCTTTCAAACTTACCGTAATTGTTGTCGTTTGGATCTCCATCCATCTTCTAGACAATGCCAAAAAGAAGGACTTGCAAGACATGCTGACTGAATTAGATCTAATGAAAACAATGAGGCCTCATCCTCATGTTGTTAAACTCATCGGCTGTTGCATTGAGAAAGGTACTGCACAATTTGATTGATTCCGGTTGGCTTATTTTTTTCGATGACTGACTTATTCAATAATTCATTGATTGGCTAACTCATTGGACATTTACATGATTCTAGATCCACCTCTCATAGTTTTGGAATATTTACCATACGGGGATTTATTGGGATACCTGCGCAAGAGCAGAGGAATCGAGGATCCTTATAACACAGGAGAAAAAAGACCAAGCTCAACACTCGCAGACGCAGAGAAGGACCTTCTGTCCTTTGCATGGATGATCGCTGATGGTATGAGCTATTTGTCAACAATGAAGGTAGAAACTACCATTTGTATACCGTTACATCTCAATACACTTTAAGGTCTTGTGTGATATGAAAAGTAATGTCATCTACAACAAACCTTTACAATGTCACTTTCTTTAATCATTCTATGAGGAATGGTTTCGAATCATCTCTTCGTCTTTTATGTCTATTGTCGCTCTGAAATAGGCTGCAGTACCTGCCAAAACAAGGAATGTAAAGCAAGATGAAAAAGTGCTTTCATGAAGAAATCTCGGGGTGTCTAGCTTGTGCTATTTTTCAATGTTTCAGATTGTTCATCGTGATTTGGCAGCTCGCAATGTTTTAGTTGGGGACAACAAAGTGTGTAAGATTTCCGACCTTGGTTTAGCGCGTGGTTTGGAAGGAGATATATACACCAGAAAAAGTCAGGTGATACACAAAAATATCTCAATATAACCACAAAGTTTTACGCCAGCGATCATTTTTCTTTCATTTGCTTGTTTACTACCTGACGAAAAATTTGTTTATCATATTCAGTTTTCTCTTGTTTAGAATCATTTTCGAGCTCTATGTGATTACTTTTTTCAAGGCTCGTCTTCCAGCCAAGTGGATGCCCCCAGAATCTCTTTTGTATGGCAAATCTACCACTATGAGCGACATGTACGTTGTTTCACTTTAAAATTTCAAGTCAACTGCTCGTTCAGCCTGCAGAAATAAGGTTCAAGTACCAATACTTTGATTACCAAAACTGCCTGAGCGATTAGGAAAAGTGCTCTTGCCTGAAAAGTATTATTGGGAGAAATAGAACAGTTTTCAATTGTTTGTCGAAAGCTCCAGAAATAACTTTTATTTCTTATTATTTTCTGTGCTTAGTGAAGGAAAGTCGCGCAATTTTCTAAACAAAAATTCAAAACCAAAACTAATTGCAAAGTGGTAATTAGCAGAGGTAGTTTGCTTTTTATTTTTTATTTTGAGTTCTCACGGGCTCTACATGATATTTTTCTTGGCTCTGATTGAAAAATGAAAAAGGTTACTGATTAAAATTGCTTCTGTCTTTCTGTCTTGAACAGATGGTCATACGGCATAGTAATGTGGGAGGTGTTTACGATTGGTATGTGGATAGATATGAAGTTACCTTTTCTGTACCTAAAAGTGAGAAGAGTACCGCCCATTTTGCTCCCTCTCGCTTACGCCTTGATCCCTTACTGGTTTTGTTTTATCTTTTATATCAAAACATATCATCACTACTGCTGCTCATAACAACATAATTTGTTTACGAGGGTTTCCAAATATTCAGCCAAAACTTATCGAACTCACTAAGAGCTTTTAAGACGATCAAGACACTACCGCCCCAGTGAGTTCCATATCTAATATCATAAATGAAATTTTACGCGCGTCTAACTGGCTGAAAACAAGTACATTTTTCTCGTAACACGAGTGGAAAGTTGTAATACAAGTGCAAATTACAAATAGCGTGCGCGCGCGGGCTCCCAAAATTTCTCGCTTCTTGACTCTATGTGAAGCTTTTTCCCTGTCAATTGTTAACAAGTAACAATGAGCATGATTCCTCGAGCTATTTTGCTGTAATAAGCACTTGTAAATTTATCAGACTGCATATTGCAGTTTTGTTGTCTTTGAAAAATTTTCTCTTGCTTGTTATAAAAAATTGCACTGGAATTCATGCTATTACCTAAACTAGTTGTTGGGATTGCCTAAAAGAGTTTAAAGATGTACTGTCATCGAAATATAAACCGCTTTCGTAAATGACTAATTAGAAGAGGGAATGAGAATCACCGAGATCACTGGTACCCATTGGCCTGATCGTTGAGGAAGATTTCGTTACTTTTCCAGACAAATAAGGACCCAGCTGCCAGTCTTTAATTAGCAAACAACGTCATTTAATATTTTCAGGTGAATCGCCATATCCCGGAGTGAAATCTAGAGAAGTAGCTGGTTTACTGCAGACAGGATACCGCATGCCTAAGCCACCTCATATTTCACAAGAACTGTAAGTGGCCTCATAGCTTTTTCATCCCTCATTTTACAAATCAGTACCTCTCAAGAAATGGTCTATTGTTCCGGCTCAACTTGTCACATTAAGTATTAAACAATAGTCCTTTTGTTCTTTGTAGCGTTGAGGGACTTTGGCCGAAGCGACGCGAAAAAGTTGTGACTAATCGGAAAAAAAATTTCGGCATGACAATTTAGCTATTTGTCTCGTCAAGTCAACTCTCAATGGTCTACCCCAGGAAAAATTTGACCGCTAATGTGGCAATGCGCACATCGAGCATACTCACATCGAGAATTCAAAATACGTTGTGTCTCATTCAGACCACCTCTCTCCTTCTAAATCTTTTTCCAGACACTGTCATAGTTCTAAAGTAAAGTCGTCATAGTTCTAAAGTAAAGTCGTCATAGTTCTAAAGTAAAGTCGTCATAGTTCTAAACTAAAGTCTAGTCTTTTCGAGCGTTTAAATTTCCCGCTCGTGTGCTAATCAGAAACTACGACAAATCCCTCGTGTGTTCTGAAGCTGTCGCTTGTATAACAAAGCCTATTGTTATCAAAGTTGAGCCACTTTTCTCGATACATTTAAACGTTCATGAACTGTAAGTGGTTTAATAGCTTTTTCATCTCTCATTTTACAAATCATTACCTCGAAAAACGGCACAGATAATTACTAGGTATTTCACAATTCATTTTCAAATGACCTATACGAAAAACCGTGGATTGAAAGTATAATAATAATATTAGACTTTGTTCAAGTGTCAGGGTATTTAGCTACACATTAGCTAGTTGTGGACACTAAAAGACATTCCAAATACAAAATAAGAATGATTAAAACAGGGATGGTTAGAGTGTTAAAAATCTATTTCAAATTTACATTCATTTTAAAAACATTTACTTAAAAAAAAAAATGAAAAGTTTTCCTATGTAGTCGTGGCCAAACCATTTCATTGTAAATCAAGATTACAATCTCTTGCAGAAACCTATTGTAGAGAGAAGGTATGTTTTCACTGCGTGGGAGATCTTCGTAAGTGTTTGTCTTACAGTTGTAAATTGCTCCTAAGGCGCGTTGTCACAGTCTCTGCAGCTTTCGTCTCTCAGATTGCTTACAAAAATGCCATACAGTTTGGCAATGCGTCAGGTGAGGAAGAACTGCTGTAAGGCAGAGTCAACACTTGGTCTTACATGGGATTAGATTACGCAGTCTTGCAAGCACCCCTATTTTCCTGCTCGTTTTTTCACGGATGTCGCTAATGTGTTTAGTGTTCAGTATGCAATACAATTGCGATTCTTATTTCAGGTACTCCATTATGACCAATTGTTGGGAAGAGCAACCAAAAAGCAGACCAACATTTCCGTGGCTCTGCTCGGCAATCAAACGGTTATTGGACGATTTTAAGGTTTGTCTTTCGGTCATCCTTAAACATATCCTTTTTCACTGTTTTTTTTTTTGTTTTGTTTTGTTTTGTCTTTGTGTTGTATTTTGCTTACCATAGTATTTTTTTCTGTTCTAATCTTTGTTTGAGAACATATTATTTACGAACTTTCGTTCCAGCGATTCTACTTGTGTAAGGGGCTTCTTAGGTCATACAAAAGTGGAAGGGGGGACGGAAATAGTATGATGCATTTTGGTAAAGGATACGAGGGGTCATAGTTTCAATCACACAGTTCTGCTTTCTTTTTTTTGATAATCTTATCTCAGCGGGCTCGCCCTTTTCAAATTTTGGAGTTATACTTCAATTTGTCAGCCTAATTTCGCTTTCTTTAGGACTATTTTTTTCGAATCTAGGTATCGTTCTCCAAACATTCAACCCTGTATCCTCGCACTTTCGTGTTCATTGGTATCCCCAGCCAAATTTGATGAGTAACGAGGAAAGCGTAAATGAAAATAAAGTTTATAGCCGTTAGACGGTAGACGAGGAGGATATCCCTAGGTAAAATTTCAAAATAGAAGAACTATGAGAACATAAACTAAACTTGGTCTACGGACTAAGGGCGAAACGTAAATTTCGTAAACTTGTTCAGCAAAGAACTCTTTACTTTTCAGTCATACCAAACAGGTTGTAGTCACAAAGTTTTTTAAGCGCCTAATTTAGCTCATTGCATTTCCGAAACCAAACGAAACCAAACAAAACAAAGTGCAAACGAAGCAATTCAAAGCAAAGCGAAGCAGTGAAAGACAATGACGGCTGAAACATGCTGTTACTACACTAGCACACTATTCGACAGAAGAATAAAAACCCTTAAAAAGCCAAGACTTACAGAATAGGAAATACAACCTACCATACGAAAAAAAAAAGAATCACAATATATAACATTAATTTTAAAAAAACGTACAAATACCCGAAAACTAGACTAAGAAACACACGAGAAGCACAGCTATCGACAATCCTAGTGCCCAACCATGTCTCATCTATCTGATCTGTTCTCTAGACATATGTGAACTTGGAAGTCTACGAAGGCCATGATTATATCAACTTTGATGTGGCAGACAAAGAGTGATAAAAGATGTCCAATTTCTATAATAAAGACTGGAGCGGGGAAGTCCGGTGCATTTAACATAGTTTCAATTATGTTAATCTTTCATCTTCTCTATTGTAAATCGGATAAGATAAGATATTGTTAAAGATACTGTATTATGAACTTTAAACAGTTTTTCTCGAGATTTCATGAAGAATGTTATTTTTTAATTTGAGGTTCCTTCCGGAAATCTGCTTGGTTACATGCTTCTTGAAATAGCAAGTTGCATAAACATTCAAATAGGCAACACATATAGTCGTATTCAGGTTTATTTCAGCGTAAGAGCTCCACGTAATTATCTTCGCGTCGTAGTAATGATTTTTTCGAAGCTGCATTGTTTTGGCTTCTTTGTTTTCCCTATTCTACGTCACGCGTAAGCATTATAGGTCTTTACACCATGAATAAATACGAATTTAAAGCACATACCCAGAAGCTCAGGTTACCCTTTAGAATGTTATAGTGTAGTCTCCCTTGCAGCCCTTTCCGGCGTCGTCACGCAAGCGAAAACTCCCCCACCAACGACTGCTCACATTCGAACAACATTCCTTTCCCATTGTAATATGTTATCCAATCAAAATAAAGTTATTGTCTGACAAACAACCAATGAACACGCGATATATTTATTCCCGCGAATTCACAGGAAGCGCGTCAGCGTTAGTTTCTAAAGATGGAATCTGATGTCATCGAAACTCCGAAAAAAATATCAGATAATGATCGCTGTTTTGTTTGCCCGAATCCTGTGGGAAAATTTATAAAAACATCTCTTCTGTCTTCTATAATTACTGTTATGGCTTCTCTCTGATGCGAATTCAAGCTCTCAATACCAAAAGTATATCGCACTAGGTCGAAAGCGTCTTCATTTTGTTAGTTTCAACGCTCGGATAATACGAACTCTGTGATTGGTTTGATTATTGAGGCGCGAACGCTTTCCAGAATATGGTAAGTAAATGCTGATTGGCTCATTTCCCGAAAGGAATGTTGTCCGTTGGTGGGGGAGTTTTCGCTTCCGTGACGACGCCGGAAAAGGCTGCAAGGGAGACTAGTTATAATGCAGTTAGAGTTTTAATTTCTGATGTGCTTTTCTATGGCGGGGATAAAAATTAGATGGTAGCCGAAAACGCTGGATTTCATTTTTTCGTAAGTCCTGTATTCCAGTAAAAAGCTTTACCGTAGGAGTAACTGGGCTATGACAAATAAACTTCCCATTAATGTAGAGAAGACAAATGTAATAATCGTGGCTGGCAAAAGACTTGAATAAAAGTTAGATTTTGAACCATCAGTTAAGTTTAGTGACCATGGAGTAGTGAGAAATGTTTCCAATGCTACTATCGTTTAGTCAACATGTTGATAAAATTTGTAACAAGCTTTCGTAGCGTATAGCACTTCTCAGAAAAATCAGAGTTTTCCTGCCTCTTAGGTAAAGATTATTATATTACAACTTGATAATTTATCCTATAATTACCTACGCTAAAGTTATCTGCAGCTGGTCAGGTTGTGATAAAGAGTCTTTGAAGAGAGTATTGAAGCTGCAAAAAAGGGCGGCTAGGGTTATTCTGTCTGCCGATAGAGATTCAACATCTATACGTTTATTCAATAAGTTAAAATGGTTCCTTTGTATGAAGAAAATAAGATAAGCTGTTGTTCCTTAGTTTTTAAACTTATTGAAGGTACCTTACCTAATTACACAATTTAAAATTTTACTGTTAATAATCAAGTCCACTCCAGAAATACTAGGTATGCTAAATTTAATTTAGTTTGTCCTAAGTATATACGCGGGACAGAAGGTGGAAAGTCTTTCTTAGTCGGAGCTTGCAGACTGTGGAATAAATTATCTATAGAATTGAGACGTAAAGATTCTCTTCCTGCATTTAAGAAGAGTCTTTAATGCAACTTTTAAAGAACAGTGTAGTTGAATTGATTTTACTATTTAGCTTAATATCTACTCTTATTTTTAATCGAGGGCCACAAGTTCATTAGCTTTTAGCTATTTAGTGCGACCCTCTATAAATAAAGTGTTTACTTACTTACTAGTAATGGCAATGATGTCTGGTGTAAATGTACGTGTGTGTTTGACCAAATAAAACATCTCTCCAGGTATGCAATATCAAGGTGTGCGTCATTATTAATAAATTTCAATCAAAATATTGCAGTTTTTGAAAACTGCACCGGAAGTCTCCAAGAAGATCTCACTGTAGTTGCAACATGCTTAAACTATGTTTAGTCCTAGCGTTTTAATTAGATACAGTGCTGACTGCTCTTGCATTGACTTCTAAAACAACGGTTGTGAATGTTCAAATCAAACTGTGACCATATTTCGGTCTTGAAAATTCTCGATCTGTCACGAGAGTGGAAGAGATATCACGGGAGTTAAAATGCCTTCCAAAGCCCTTAGTCTACATAATACCCTAAGCACGTTATTTTGGGTATTTCTTAGGCCCTAACAGGTTAAAGATTCTTGCACATCGCGCTAAACCTTTTCGCTCAATGTTTTCCTTTTTCCCGTGGAATCTATCGGAAGAGATTTTGGTTCGACCGTCATAAAGTTCTCAATGTACTATTAGTATACGCTATACGATTAAAGGATTGTTTCACTGCGTGCCCGTAATGTTTATGTATGAGTGCAGACCGACGCTAACACCGGCGTAAGTCTTCGTTTACCAAGTATAACGCGAAGGAGTCTAGTACAGTCAGCTATTTCTGTCTGGCTCGGTTAGCTCATTGAATGCAATCTTTAAACGAGCAACTCGATGGTAGTCGAATTGTAAATCGCAACTACTGTACAAGTATGTATTAATAATTGGCGGGTCACTGACACAATTTGGAACGGAGAGATAGTCGTTTCATGATTAACCAAAGCTATGCGTAGATTCTTTGAATTTGCTTCCTTCAATTCATTCCATTTGGTCCAGGGTACAAATTTCTCTGCATGTATGTTAGTTACCTCTACTTGGGTGCAGTTTAACCACTCAAAACATCGAACACTTCCAATTACGAGCCAACTTCCTTGTTACATTATAACTATCGGTTATGGTGCTCCTCCGACCTATTGTAATCATAAATTTATCGTTAACCCGCGGTTTGATACGAGGATCTCGATCCAAACTGAACGGTGGTTGACGCAAGAACGGGCGGTTACAAGATGTAGCGAATTACCGTCAAAATAAGGAAACTTTAAAAACTAATGAGCGTTACTAAGTATGCTCGAAATTCTTGGTTTTCATTTGACGTCATCAACTTTAAAAATAGGGAATCATTCATCCTTTTTAGATTTTAGTTTACTTAGTTATTAGAACAGATGAAGAACTATCTTTTTACAAGTTTTCAGTTTAATGGGATATTTTTTTTTTTTGTCCTGTGATAAAGCAAGGTTGAATTTCCAAACTTTTGTGTGACACGATATCAAAATGGCGGCCGAGAACTTGATTTTATTTTTTGAATGATTTTGATGATGGTGTTACGGCGAAAAACGGCAATTGGTATGCCTGATATTCTGATCAAAACGTGATACATTCAAGTTGGTAGCCGGGTTCAGAACAAATGGATTCAAAGCAGATTTGCTTGAGAGCATGGATTCAGGAAAAACATGTCTTAAGTTATGTTCCGTTCTTAAACTGCTGCAGCAATTTTTAACATTTTCGTTTCTATCTTTTTTTAATTTGATTTCTTCTGTGTGCGATTGCTGTTTATCACAATCACAATCACCCTCGGGGTACAGGGAAGTCATTCGAAAAATGGTTTCGATCGTCATTCATTACTTCTGAAAAAGGCATTGAGAATATCCAAAAAATTTACGTCAAGAAACTACGATGGCCCAGAAGGCTCTACGCAAAGAAAAAATATACTGCAGCAAATAAAAAATATGCTGCAACAAATAAAAAAATATACTGCAGCAAATAAAAAAATCAAAACCCAAAGAAAAAAAGTACCGCAGCAAATAAAAAAATGCACCGCAAACAAAAAATACTGCAGCAAATAAAATATGCAACGCAAACAAAAAAAAAAAAAAACGCAAACAAAAAAAAAAATTGGAACGCAACGCCAAGGAAGACTGGGTAATAGTTCTTCGTTTCCCGCCAACATTCGTTTCATCCTTTGCTGGCTTCACCTTTCCGAAACCATGTTCTGCAGCGAACTTATGACAATACCATGCTGCTCCTTTAAAAAAATCGATAATAACTCTATTTTCATACCCTTCATGAAAGTATTCTTCTATAATCCTACGCAGATCGCTTTCGTCCATAACCAAAAGCGAGTTCCAGTTCATGCTGTTTTGGCGGGAAACTACGAACTACGATGCACGATCCTCGCAGTAGAGAGCACTATTTATGCAATAGCGAAAATCAGACCTGAAAAAAATCAGGCCTGTAGAGGACTCGAACCACTGACCTCTGCGATACTAGTGCAGCGCTCTACCAATTGAGCTAACAAGCCAACTGAGAGCAGGCCGTTAAGTTGATTCGTAATAGACCCGTGATGATAAATCAGATACAGTGAATATATGAAGTTCATATATTTTGAACTGCGGTATTAGATACGTATGATGCACGATCCTCATAGTAGAGAGCGCTATTTATGCAATAGCGAAAATCAGACCTGAAAAAAATCAGGACCTGTACTGCGAGGATCGTGCATCATACGTATATAATACCGCAGTTCAAAATATATGAACGTCACATATTCATTGTATCCAAACTACGAACTATTATCCAGTCTTCCTTGGCGTTGCGTTCCAACTTTTTTTGTTTTCGTTTTCTTTTTTTTGTTTGCGTTGCATTTTTTTATATGCTGCGGTACATTTTTTCTTTGCGTTTTGATTTTTTTATATGTTGCAGTATATTTTTATTTGCTGCAGTATATTTTTCATTTGCTGCAGTATATTTCTTATTTGCTGCAGTATAATTTTTATTTGCTGCAGTATATTTTTTGTTTGCGATGAGCCTTCTGGGCCACGTACGAAACCACAAAAATAACAATTAATTCGATCCTTATTTATGAATTGAGAATGTGAATTTAATAATTGGATATTTCATTCTCCAATTGTTTGCTTTTATCGGCCTAACTTCATTAAGGAAATTGCAATTTGTCAACTTGCAAAATAGTTAAGCATCTGGCCAAAGAAATCCAAATGTAATCGAGGAAGCAGCTAAATTAATTATTTACTCTGTAGAAATATGGTGTCAATTTAACTGACCCAAGTGTATTATTTATCTCTTCCTTGTAAAATGCAATTCATTGTCTCAATGTTTTTTTTTCCCAAGGTAGCTCAAAGTGCATTACAAACCACATGGATTGCCGCTTTGTTACAGTCGTTACTCTTCTATAGATTTTAACCTTCTTGTCGGCTGATTTAGGTATGAAAAGCAATGTTGTAACACTCTTTGATAAATTAGTACTTTGGTAAAGTGTTAATTCACACTAATTCTATCAATCAACAATGACACACAGCTCCACCGCGAAAAC